ATTTTAGATTTAAAAAAAAAAAACCTCAAAATTTATTTGGGAATTATTTCTGCTGGTATTGAAATACAAAGTATAATTTCCAGAATGACTTGAATAGACCTAAAATAGTTGCAGACCAGATTTCTCACCTTTTGATATCCAAAGTTTTTCACCACAAAATGATTGTGGGCTAGACACTGCCTTTATGGAGCATTCTGACCTAACTCAGTTTGGAAATTGAACGGAAGTGCTGGCAGGAGCAACTGTTCTAAATATTTTCAGTTGTTGTCTTGTTGAGTAGTTATCCCTACGCAGATTGTGACTATGGCAGAAATTAGTGTGATAATATTCAAAAACCAAATCAAAATCTGCTGCCTAAAAAAGAAGAGGCTTTCTGCTTTCTTGAGGAATGAATAAATAAATATGTATGGATCAGTAAATATGGCAATAATTAATATAAGCCCCACCAGTGTTTGTACAAAAGAAGTTCTTTAAATGGTCTTGGTGGAAATTCAGATATAAGACAGTGCACATGTGCAAATGCCATGAATCAAGAGAATAATAACTCATAAAAGCAACACTCTGGAACCATTTTATTGGTTGGAAATGTGCAAGTGCACAAAATACTACTGGGGGCTGTTGCAGAAGCAACAAAAGTGAACCATAATATTATTTATCATTCATATTGATCATTGGTGGCAGCATTTTAACACCGGATATAGGATTTACCTATTGTTAAAAAAATACGTATTGGTAAGACAAGAACAATGTGCTGTCTCTGATCAAAATGAGAAAACAATTAAAGAGTAGATTTAAGGGGCCATATTTTGTCTCTGCGATCGCTCTTGCTTTGAAAATGCAAATGTAAAAAGAATTTCTTACAATTAAATTGAAAGAGAAATAACCTAACATGAACTTGATTGTTTTGAGGGTACGAATGAAACTACATTAGGAATGTTTGAAAATGTACAAAGCAGACAAAACTACTTTAAAATCTAGCAGTGTCTTTACAGCTGACTATTAATATATAGCTTGAAAAATATCATCCCCTTTATAGATCAGTAAGCCTATGTACAAATATTTGTTACATTTGTTTTCAAACATTTACACATTTTGTATATTCCAAAATGTAGCAAAGTGGATTAAAATAAATTAACAGTTATTTCTGAAGGATGTGTAACAAAATTTTTGACACTTCTGCTCAACTGCTAAAACAATTTCATAATTAAAGGAGGCATATTATCATTGTGTAAGCCATGGAAGTGTTCAGGCATGAGGCACAGAAGACAGTTTTCTCCCTAACACCTAGATGAAAGAAGCATAAAAGCATTTTCCATATAGGTTACTTTTGTACATCAAGTGAACAGCTCTGCACTTTTTAAATATCTCAAAAAATAAGAGAAGAATGATGGATGGAAGCTTTTAATGACTGAGTACTAAATGTTTCACTGGTTTGGCATATGTTTACCATGATAGTACTTGAAGAGTGAGATATGATAAAGAATTGATGTGTAGTTAGTGGGACACCTATGTATAGCTCTTACCTAAAAGCCCATAACAGCAAAGCAAAGGGAGTGTATGCACTTAGCTCTCATTGACTTTACACTCTGACTTCAGGAAACAATTACTGTAACCTAATTTAGCCCCACTCTCTAGAAAATGAACCTCGTGTTTTTCAGAAACACGTAAGTGGTGTTGAGTCTTTGCAAAAGGTATCAATGGGTTCTTTTGATGAGGAACGTTGTCCTGCATGAAACCAAGCAACATGCATGCACCTGCCCTGGGAAACTGCCCTCAGACCTGCTCTGACCCTATGGCATCCTTACAATTTCTGAAAACTTCTAGAATTTATGATACTCATTCTTACTAATTAAATTTCTCAGTTGCAGGACTGAAAATAATGTTTCTTGTGTAAAGATTTTGGGGAGAATGCTACTTATGAACTATTTAAAGGCTTAAGTTTCAACTTAAATTAATTTAGTGCTACTTATGAAGAGGTTTATGACTTAAAATAAGATATTTTGAAATTGTAAAATTATAAAAATAGAAAAAATTAACACTTAGAATACTTGTGTCGTGTACTTGACAGTGGCAGGTATATGTATTTTGCTAAATGCAGAGTAATTTAGGCTACTCTGTTTCCCAGCAATAGCACCATGATGCCTTGTCCTCCTGACTGAGTAGTTGCATATGAACAACTTTACTGATAAAAGATGTTGGAGTCCTACTGTCCATTAGACCTTTCTTTGCTTATTGGTCTATCAAAATAATAAAAAATATTTAGATTTTTATTTCCAGGCTTTTCATGTGGATCTTGAATTCTGCATTTTGTGAAATTATGGAGGGCTGCTCTTACCCTGTTTTGAGATACAATAACATATACAAGGCATTCTAATTTTTTATGAAAATATTTTGCTGTGGCATATGTGTAGCTTAAAAAGTCAATGTGTATTATGCAGTTTTGTTTGTACACTTTAATATAGTGTAACCATTTCTCTCATGAGACACTAAAATGAAAGAGTATACAGGCATTATATGTCGGGGCCATTCCTTTCTCAAGCAGTGTAATTAATTGATTAAAGTATATCACATCTCTTCGTTCAAGAAGAAAATATGTCACTTAATTGCTTTGTAAGTGGCTTTCCCTGTTTTATCTTGATTATGTAGGATGCATGCATACATAGAATTACTGAAGTGATCAATTATTTTTCATTCCTGAGTATCTGCAGTGTTTTCAAATGCAGTCCAGTAAACCAGAGAGAAATGTTTGCCAGCCAGTAATTGCATTGTGAAATACAAAGAGAGAGCAAAAAAATACACACTCCTGCATCTCTTAGTATTATACTGAGTTGTGCAAATTAAAGTTTATATTTTGTTCTTTTTCTAAAAATCTTTCTAACAGCAGCAATGAGTTTTTGATGTTCCTAGCTAAAAATTATTTGCACTGTGACAGTGTTGAGTACTTTTCTCCTGTGAGCCGTTTTCCACAGTGACTGTCCTTGACCAAACCAGAAAATGAATTTGATTTCTCTAATGCAAAAGGTAATTGGATTTCTCTTTATGGAATGCATCCCTTTAATGACTGTCTCTGCTTCAGCCAATTTAGCTGAAACCAACCTGACACTGATCTGGTGATATGACTTTAAATAAATGCCAAAGCTCGGAGATGAAAGACCAACTGTCTGATATCAGAAAGAACATTTCCTGCCTTGTCTTGCCATTTTCCTCAGAAAATGCCTCCGTCTTGAATGTCATTCTTATGAAACATGCTACTCTAATAATTGGTCATGGAGCAGCAGATTGCATCCTTCTACCAAATATAATAAGTATTTCCCAGAAAGCATCTGGAGTAAATATTTTGAAAATTGAATAAAACCTTTCAGAACAGAAATATCTGTTCTTCTTTGCAAATATTCGGTACTATGTAGACTCTTCCTAAGACTAAAAGGTGTTACTGAAGTAGTGAATTAAATGTCACAGAGGTCTTGTTCAGCATTAAATATTTCCAAAATATTTATTTAGATAACAGAGATAGCTCATACTCTGAATGCTAAATTGAATTTTAAAACCTCTGTACATCAAAATAAATGTAGTGGAAAATAAAACCAGGAAATTTTTACTTCAGTTTGACTTAATTTCCTTCTAAAATCTTATTAAGAGTTATTTTCATACTAATCAAAACAGTAATTTTTCACTGTGTACTGAGGCCAATGACATAGTAAGAATTTGTTTTACTTACCTAGTTTGAAGGAAGTGGTTACCCCGGTTTCCTTTATCTGTTCAATTATTTCTTAATCTTTACATATGGGTAAGTTTTCCACTCTTCTGGATCTTTTGCCCAATGGAATTGATGAGTTTACTGTAATGTAACTTTCGGCACTTTTTAGTACAGTTAACTTGAAGTAAATGGATATGAAAACACAGCTTCCCAAAGGTGCAAGCTCTTGAGAGTTATTCACTTCCTTCATTTATCTGAAAGTAATTTTTAAAACTTTTGTGTATCACCCAGAATGAGTGCATACATGTGAGTCTCTGGACAGAGAAACAGTTAGGAAACAAGTCTCTTTAGATAGGAATTATGAAAATGAGAATAAATATTTCATACTTTTAAAATTTTGTGCAAGTTTTAAGGGATTTTCATGTCTCTAGTCCCAAGTGTGCTTTTCTTACTTGATACCAAGAAGCAAGAGGAGATTATAAATGGCATATAGTGCTTAATTCACAGGCTTGCACTCCCTGGTTGCAGTTCTCCTTTCAAGAGTGGAAATTCTGCTGGTGCTGCTCTCAAGGAAGTGGGTCCCCTCTCCCAGGCTGGACTGGAAAGCTTTGAAGCCATAGGGAAACATAGCTTATGTACTGTAGGTTGCTGTAACTTTTAGACTAGTTCCTTTTCTTCTCTTCTCTTCTCTTCTCTTCTCTTCTCTTCTCTTCTCTTCTCTTCTCTTCTCTTCTCTTCTCTTCTCTTCTCTTCTCTTCTCTTCTCTTCTCTTCTCTTCTCTTCTCTTCTCTTCTCTTCTCTTCTCTTCTCTTCTCTTCTCTTCTCTTCTCTTCTCTTCTCTTCTCTTCTCTTCTCTTCTCTTCTCTTCTCTTCTCTTCTCTTCTCTTCTCTTCTCTTCTCTTCTCTTCTCTTCTCTTCTCTTCTCTTCTCTTCTCTTCTCTTCTCTTCTCTTCTCTTCTCTTCTCTTCTCTTCTCTTCTCTTCTCTTCTCTTCTCTTCTCTTCTCTTCTCTTCTCTTCTCTTCTCTTCTCTTCTCTTCTCTTCTCCCTCCCTCTCCTCTCCCCTTCAGATCTCCACAGGTTTCCTTGTTTCTCAGTGAGTTGCGTGCACTTCTAGGAGCAGCAAATATACTTTATCTTGATTGCAAATAACTCTAGAGATACTATTTTTCCACTCTCTAACTATTAAAATTATCATACTGAAGCAGGTGTGTCATCTATAAAATAAAGTGTCTGTAAAGTCCATGCTGGTACTTTCTTTTGTGACACCAGTTTCACTGTGTATTATTTCTTCTTTCCCTGTAGGTCACTGATATGATGCTTCAGGACAAACCCTACCCAGACTGGGGAAAGTCTGCCAGAGCTTTCTGGAAGAAAGGAAACATTAGGATCATTTTATTCTGGTAGGAAAATAGTAAAATCAAATTATTGTAAATGAACCTTTTATAGAACATCCAGAAATATATCTTTGAATTGTCTATGACAGTAAGAAATATAAACAGAATATATGGTTGGAAAAAAATGAAACTTGGTCTAACAAAAAATTAAACATTACAAAAGCTGTACATGAATGAACAATTCCTAATCAAAATAGTTGGTGTAAAAATACAATTTTAAAATTGATTTATACTGTTTTTTTATTATATCTTTGATACTATTTATAACTGAGTTGCAAAATTTTTGCTATATGTGAAAATATTTAGATGTCCCATTGTCGGTCCTTGTAATTTGGGTAAGTAAATATGTGAGTGACCCTTTGTGACTTTGAAATTAATTATCGCAATTCTTTGAATTAACACATGAATGGGATTTCAATTTGTGAGTCAGCCTCAGATTATTGAGAAAAATATTTTAAAATCAATGGGAAAAATTACAAGGGCTAAGCATTTATTTGACCACAATGTAGCCTCTTCCAGATAAATTGTAATTGTTAAAATAGAAAACAAATTGTGGCACAAAAAGTGGAAGGCAGAAATGTATAGTCTAAGAGGCTGTCTGAAGACCTTACAGCTGAAGATTAAAGAAATTGAAAAGATTTATTTCAACTATAGAAACAGATGATCTAATGAAAAATCAGCAAACATGCTTTTTTTAAAGAGTAGATTTAGAAGGAATTGTTACAGAGAAGTTGAAAGATTTATTTGCATGGTTTCCGCTATTGAAAATGCAATGAAACATCTATACTTTTAAAGTAGTAAAAATTAGATATTATATTAAATTGAGGCAATTTAAAGGAAATAATAAGAGAAATTTAAAGACTAAAAAGAAAGCAGAATCAGATGGCTGGCTACAAACAAGATTTATAAGGAACTGTAGGGGCTGAGCTGATGCAAATTTTGCTAGCACTTAATTGCCTATTGAGAAATTGAATGTTAAAATTTGCCTGTTGTTTTGGTTTTGTTGCTTTTTATCAACAAACTAGAATTATCCTTCTGGTCTGTAAGTCTGAGTTCAGTATTAGCTAAATGGATTGAATACATCATCAATAATAGAATTATGAGCAAAACTCTAGATTAAATTTTGCTAAAAGAAGCCAGGGTAGCTTTGCTGAAACAAAATCTCTCTGATCTGTTAGAACTCTTTGAACATGTCATCAAAATAATGGATGAGGAAGGAATGCCTGATCTAATTTATTTGGACTTTCAAAAGGCTTTTGACAAAGGAAGTTCTTTACTGAAGGCAATTAAGAAAAGTAGTTAGTCCCATGGAGTGTGCTCAACTCAGAAATGTGCAATGAAACATATAAATAAAATAATAATTTTCTGCTATGTTGATAAGACAGGAGACTCCAATTATTTAATGTCAGAAGCAGTATTCATTATTTGTATACATCATATATATTAACATCATGACAGAATTTAAAGGTGAAGTGAATAATTTGACGAATGCTAGCATGGAAAGGGATCTTAGAAGGCTAGGTGAAAAAATAACATGATTGAAAGTTTCAGTTATGGAGTGGGTGGGGTGGGGAATCAAACAACTCCTTGTCATCATTGTGGGATATGCAGAGGAAGCTTCTGTCTCAGTGTGCCAAGGTGGTCAAAAAGGTAAAGCAGATGAATTAAAAATTGCTCAGATAGGTACCAAGTGGGCTAGCAATGACTACAGTGGCATTTGGTTAAGTCAGTGAAAAGCAACAATATCTAGAACATCACTGATTTTTTTTAGCCTTGTCTGAAGAATAACCCTGTCTGAAAGACTGGAAAGGAGATTAGTTAAGAGTAAAGAAAAAACTTAATTACACAAAAAGACAGGAATAATGGAAAAATGGTTAAAAGCAAGGTGACATGATAGGGAGATTTCAAATTTACATGCCAGACAAGGAGAACAATAAAACACTGTTAAAAGACTTAAATATCATTGCGAGAGATGCTTTGGCTTCTTTCAGTCTGAAAAGTTATAGATCCATAATTTCTTTCAAAAAATATTCACATGAACAAATCCTACCAAAAGTTTAAAATGGACATAAAGTAGAAAAGGTTTTTTTCACGCATGATTCTCATACTAAAGAGTATACTTAATGGGGGTTTAAAAACCTAAAAGGTAGCATAAATGCTTATATTTTTAGTTTTAAGCAGTGAAATAAAATAGCCCTGGGCAGCAGTCTACAGTCTGTAGAGGCATTATTTAGATAGTGCACCTTAGACATCAGTAGAAGTAGACTTTTTTTCCCCTAATAAGTAGGAAAAATAGAGGGAGGAGTTAAAGTACTGAAATGTTATGCATGATAATGTGGGGTACTTGTATTTCATTTATTGCTTAAGCAGTGTGATGCGGACAGTTTCATTTGTGAAATGTCCTAAACGAAACACCCTCAACCGTATGTCCTGCACAGATACTGGTATACCAAAATCCATTTATTCAGGACATTTCCTAGTGGCACACCTGCTTAGCAGAGATAGTGTAATATAGTGCACTGTATTTTAATTATTCCAAATATAGATATGTGATGCACAGTTTAAAGTGGTTGATGAAACAGAAATTTTAGATACACACCAGACTTAGTTTTCTGTTAACATTTTTATTTTCAGGTTTACTTTGTAAAATTAGAAAACATCTATAAACATACCAAAGTCAGATGGATTGCCATGAGGATGAAGGCACTTTCCCCTCTTTTTATAATAATTGAACAAGTCACTGCTTTGTATTTCTCATTTGGAAATGTTTTCAGTGCAATTAATTAGCAAAAGTTTTGATTTAGCTTCTTGTTTCCTGTTTTAACTTACTCCCTGGAAACACTGTCAGCAACTGGTTGTTGCTTGCTCCTGAGGATTCTGGCTGCCTCTTGAATGTTTTTGCAATATAATTCTTCCACAAACAGCTCAGCTAGCTCAAAAATGTCCATTTTCTACTTGCCTTTATCTATCTCATCACTAAGGAGTTCATTGAAATGACTTCTACTTTTTTTACAGTAAGGAGTTGTCTTTTCTTTTATAAAAAGATCTTCATTTTGATCATTTCCAGCTCCTCTCATGGCTAATTCCACCATCCAGAGGCACCTTTGTGTAATGCTGTTACAGTCTGTTCTATATTGCATAGGGATACGATGCCAATACAAATACACTGTCTTACACATTTAAGAAAGTGTATTGTCAAGATGAATTTTAGAAAAGCAATGAAGTATCTGGAACCCTGGTGGAATTACTGGGGTGGTGCAGATGCATTTGTGGGTTAAAAAAGAAAGATATCCACAGAGAGTTAAAAATCCACACCACCTGGCAGTCACATGAGGCTGTGGTAGAGACAACTGTCTCCAGTGCTGCATGGTTACTGTCACTATTGTGAAGTTACAAGAATGAATTGAAATGGGCTGATATTTTTTTTTTTTTAATATGTTGATAATTTGGCTGATTTACGAAAGACTGGCATTTGAAAGATGCAACAAGAACAAAAGGTTGTTAAATTAAACCAAGATCTTGGACAAGACTGATGACAAGCCAATAGCAGTAGGCAGTGGTAACTTAAATAAATAGTAATTGGATATCAGAAAAAGCAGAGAGAGAAGTACAAGGTGAAAATACTGATTATTTTGCAAATAATCATAGAATGATTAGGGTGGGAAGGGACTTTAAAGATCACCTAGTTCCAACCCCCCTGCCATCAGCAGGGACACCTTCCACTAGATCAGGTTGCTCAAAGCCTCATCCAGCCTGGCCTTCAACACTTCCAGGGAGGGG